CAAACAAGAAATCCATTATGTCCTAAGAAATAAATGTTGTATGGATATTTCCCTGCTTGAGAACAGCACCATTATTCTATGAAGCTTAGAAATACAAGAAAGAAATAAAACCCTAACAGGAAATTGAATTTGCACCTTATTTAATGCATGATGAAAAAGCAGATCGTTACACTTTCTTAATGAATAGCATTCACTTCTGCAAACTGAGAGCCCATGCTCATAGAGTCTGCTTGCGCGGTTTTGTTTCTCAGTGTTGAAACAGTTTTTACTTAACATCAACAGGGAGTTATTTTCTAAGGGTCTGGTTTTTCAACTCTTGCTGATAATAACCCTATGGAAATCCTATATAATGCTTGTAAGGATCAAATCCTACTTCCATTCACTTTGGAAAAATCTGATCTCTTCATCATAGCCATTAAAGCTTGGAAGTGACTCCGCTTGAGAATGATCCGAGTCCCTTGGAGGTCGCAGGCAATTGGATTGCTTTTGAGCAGCTATATTTTGTTGGAATAGTGCAGGCTTGCATACTCAGACCCTGTAGCTTTGAGAGCTGACAGCACCACTGACAGTATCTCCAGTCTTTTTGTGCTCCAAGGATGCAAAATAGTAGCGCCTGAGAGTAGTTCGGGAGAGAAAAAGCTTGTTGGTCTGTGTTTTCTGTACAGTGTGAGGCAGGACTGTATCTCCCCTTACTCCATTCACACGAGAGGCAGGATCATCTGTTTGGAATATGAAATCCTTTGATATAAAGACTCTGAGAAAAGGCTGAGTTCTTCCAAGAGCTGTTCAAGATAATGGTTTTCTTTTTTTATTTAAAGAAAAATGCTGATTTTTTTTTTGTCTCTATGCTTGTGGTACCTCAGGGAATAGAAATGCTCCCCAGTGTCTCCTGTTTCAGAAGGGAGGTTCTGGTCATGCAAAACAGAACTTCTTCCGTCGTAACAAGCGGGAAGAGTCTTGGGGAAATATTATTCTCTTGTAGCTCTATTTCGATGTGATAGATATATACAGAATACCTCTCGCTTTTTGCCTTCTTAAGCATGACTTATGCATCACTGTTGGCTCCACTAATTGATTCTTTCAAAGTTGTTTTTCCTATTAGCATAGGAAAAACCAAAAGAATTTGATGTTTCCTATGAACTGTCATAATTTTGGCATTCGGGTTTTTTTGATGACATGATATTTGTTTCACAGCAATTGCCTAGATCATACTATTGGGATTTATTTTATGTATCTAGTGATCACAGCTGGTTTTTCTTCATTCCCTCTGCTGTTTGTGGCATGAACAATGCTAGGCAGATGGTCTTTCTTTTTAATAAAAACAATCACAATTGGTTGTCTTTTCTGTGATATTTCTACGGTGGTCATAAACGTGTGTGCCAAGGCAATATGTTCAAGCTTGAGGGGATTTGTTGTCAGAACCATGACTTCTGCACAGTTGCAAAAAGGAGGAGAAAACAAAAAAAGCTGCTTAAGTCCCTTCCTTGTTTGTACAGCAAGTGTGGATACAGTCATGTTCATCCTTTCTGATTTGATCTCTGACTCAAAGTGAAAGCAGCCTGCTGGAACAGCATTTTTCCGACCATGGATGTTAACAGTCTGGGTGACCCTCATTCCGTGCATGTAGCTCAAAGCTGTGATTAGTGATAGGAACACATGTGCTAAATTGTCTGCAAAAGTCCGTTGTTACGTGGGGTTGCCAGGACTTGCCTTTAATTCTTGCAGATTGGTGTGTGTTTCCTGCTGTGAGTTCACCAAAGATGATGGATCTGCTGTGGTTCACGTCATAAGCAATTCTGCTTGTATCTGAATTCATGACTCGCCAGTGTGAGAGAGTTTATCTCATTCTGAGTTATTGACAAAAAGAATAAGACATTGGACGGAAAGGAGACTTCATAAAGAAAAGGGCAATAAAGGGAGCTTCTTTTTAATAATAGCAACTACTGTCTTTAATAAATTTGCCAGATAACTTTATTTCCCATTTTTGTTGCAAGGCTTGAGTCCCTGTGGCTGCGCAAAAGGGATAGGGCTTAATATTGTGAGTGCACGAACCCTTTCATTTAAGGTTTGTGGTATTTTTGCAAGCAATGATCTGCCACAGAGCTCTGTAGGACACATTGAAGCTGGATTTTTGGAAGAAGCTAGAACAGAGGTTGCATTGAAAGTTACTTTTCATCATCCTACCTTGTTAGACCCATTGCCTAGGCAGGTAAAGAGGGCCATAGGGACTAAAGGAGTTTTTCAAAGGGTGACTCATTGGTAGAACTTGGAGCCTTGTAAAGAGCCAGAGAGTCCATGTATGCAGCTTCTGAGGCAGGTCCAGCAGCATGCTGAGTGCCTTCAGTTTGAAGTTGAAATATATAGACTTGGATGTTAAAGCTACAAGCTAAATTACAAACTAAAGGAGGTTAGGAAGAAACTTTTGTATAGACGCATGAGTACTCCATAGCTCTTTATGAAATTTAGCAGCTTCTGAAGCATCTAGTATTGACGACTCCAGGACAATACTCCAGTTCATACACAGTAAACACAGGATCTAACAGTCCGAATACTGAAATAATCCCTAACAACTTTTAGACATTAAAGTAGAGTTCTCAGATACTCTGTGATCTAACTGTAAGAATCTACCAAAGTTAACTTAGAAAAGCAAACCTATGGTAAGTAGGCTTAGCTTTTGCCTCTGGACCTCCAGTGGAAAATGGCTGGATGGTCGCTGACTCAGGAGCAGTCTAAGGTGAAGTGGTGATGTGGTGTAGAGGTGACTGTATTTTCTGCCTAATTATTACGTGATATTGTACCTTTAGTTTGAAAATACTATTTTAACCAAAATGGAGATCAGTAGAAAAAAATGGAAGAATGAAAGAGGTTTTTTTTTTTTTCTGGAGGTGCACCTGAAAACCAGCTTAGAGCATTTTGCAGCATTCTAATAGAGCCTTAACAATAGTTCTCTGTAGTTCTCCTAAGTCACTGATAATTGAGTTTTGGCTACTTGTGGATTTAATGCCACCATGAGGTGTAATTTGTTTGCACGTGAAATATTGACGCTGCTCTGCGCAGAAATGTGAAACCGGAAGAATTCTAGCACTGATACTGCTGCAATTGTAAGTTGTGTTTTAGTGCGTTCTGTTTAATGTTGTTGTATTAATTATTGTTACAGTAATGCTCATTAGACCTCTGAGGCTTGGCAACAGGCAAACACAGACTTTGCAATCCCTGCCCCATACACCTTGTGATTTTAATTTTCAAGGCAGGTAACTAATAGGATATTAGCCTGTTATAAAGGGAGAGAGAATGAATGTTGTGCACGACACTGTGCTTGGTATTTGTGGCAGAGAGGTGAATTGAACCCAGTTCCCCAACAGTCTTTCTGTATTTCATATTTTAATTTTTCAAGGACTCTGTAACTGCAGCGACTTAGAATGCTGCATATTAATTTTCCGTTAACCAGAATTTCTGATATTCGATATTTCTGATATTTGAGCTGAATGTACTTGGATGTTATGAAGAGGGATGAGATAGAATTGCTTGCAGAGTAAGAGTTAAGCTAGTATCCTAGACCGCTGTGAAGAGTAGTTTCTCCTACTGAATTACACAGATATGGCAATATACAGAGGAGCAGTAGGAGTGGCTGAAACCAAAATGCCTGGGAGCTGTCATATGTATATTTGTTTAAAAATTCATTTAGCAGCTCCTATTTATGCTTTCTCATTAGGGTGAATAAAGGAGACTTAAAAAAGCTCACATGAAGCAAGTAGTATTTTTGGTGCTACTGTGGGATGTTAGGTTCAAGTCCTTTGTTCAACCCAAGCTGAAGCAGAAGTGTGAAATTTGGTCTCCCATCTCCTGTGGCTGTTCTGGGATGGATTGCTTTCTGACTCCTGTGCTGACCAAAAATGCCAGTGTAGCACTATGAATATTTTCTTAAAATGAAACAGGCACCTGTCTGTGATGTGTTTTGGTTTGGGTGAATAAGTGTTTAACAGTGGAAAAACTGGCAAGTCACAGCAATCCTTGACTGGTCCTTCACCTTTTTACTGATAAAATTATTTTTCCTAACAAAGTTGTACATGACTGCAGGTCTGTATCCAAATGTTAGAGTTGTTTATCTAATCCACGAAGTACAGGGAGTATAGTGTATCAAAGACTAACAGGAGACCAATGCAGATTAGGCACTCAAAGTAGTGATAGTTCTTGGGACATTGATTTGTTCAGAATACAGGTGGGGAATACTCTTTATTCCTATTTGCTTTATTCAGCATCCAATATACTGTTATACAGTTTGGCTGCATATATCATGAAGTATATGTAATGGAGATGCAGCTAGATTTTTAGTGCTTGATTGTCTCTTCCCTGCAGCTTTCTCTCAGTATTTGTGTCTACTACTGTAAAATCAACCTGAACATTCCAAAGATCATACTTTTTACAGCAAAATGAAAAGTATTAATGCAGCGATGGTGGAGCAGCTCAATGTTATCTGGGGAGTGGAGAAGTTAATCTGAACCATAAACAACATTTCTAAAATACTCATTTTTTCAAAAAGACACAGCACTTTGAAAGCTTCTTAAAATAAAGCACACGCTTGCAGGAAAAATATACTCTAGTGTATAAAGTAGTAAAATCTGTCCTATTTATGGAATCATGTATTTTCTTCTGCTGACCTCCAGTCCCAGATGTGAAAGCAAGATTGCATTGATACAAATAACTCTGATACCTTGCGTCATCCAGTTAATCATGTTAACTGAGGTCTTGGTGAGGACCGAGCACATGAAATTTATGATTATGTAGATTCTTCCATGGAAAGTCTTTAATACAAGTTCTCTTGTAGCAAGAGAATACCAACTATCTCCTGGGATGTCAAGGCATGTAGTGACAGGAGGAGAAAGCAAAAATCTGATAGAAGGGAACAAGACCACCAGGGTCATCTCATTTGTCGGGAGCAAATATGCTGACATCCTTAGTAGATATATTTTTCTAATCTATCTGTGTTCTTTTTCTTCCAGTGTGTGGCTGTGACTTGGCACAAGGAGGCTTTTTCATTAAGAATGGGGAATATCTTTGCACCTTGGATTACCAGCGCATGTATGGTACCCGCTGCAATGGTTGTGGGGAGTTCGTGGAAGGTGAAGTAGTGACAGCTCTGGGAAAAACTTACCATCCAAGCTGCTTTGCCTGTACTGTTTGCAAGTAAGTCATCCCTTTCAACAAACAGTGTGAACTCAGCACAAGGAAAACAGGGAAAAAGGGATCACCATGAGACACAAGTCTCAAGACATAGTTCTCTTTGTGAAGTGTTTGGCTGGGAAAGATCTGCTGCAAGTCTGACTTTGAGGGTCTTCAAAATACCACTCACTTATTTGAGGGACACAGCTTCTCTTTTATGTATAGTTCCGTCTTCTCAGAAGGTTACTCTCACATATGAAAGAATTCAATATCAAGCTTGTATGTTGAGGTAATGGACATGGATTGAGTTGAGTTCAGGTTATCCGCCCCGCTTAATGAGAGAAATGAGGTAAAGCAAAATTCTGGATGCTACAATAGAGAAGTCATTTGGGCTGTGGGAACAGTTAAGTGATCAAAAACATACTGGAGTCTCACTTTCACATCGTGTAAGAACGTGTGGCTTTGGGACAAGCATGATCCTGCTTTTCTTCCCAAATACAATTTCTTGTCCCCAGTAAGAGGACCAGTCTTCAGTTCTGCAGGAAGTAAAAAATTAGCTAAGGCTGTGTGAATGGAACAAAAGGTGGCATTTTTAACTTGTGTTTTTGTTTAAACTCTCACTAAGATATTAATTTACAATTTAGGAGACTATTGGGCAAATCTTTGACGTGCTCTCATAACCTGCTCATTTGAGCAGTTCTATACTTGAAAATCTCAGCTAAGCTTTACAGCCTACACTCAACCCAAAGTCCCTATGCATAGTGTTCCCTATTAGCTGGCTCTAGGCACTGAGACTGTGCTAGAATTTAGGCTGCCTTAGCATGTGCCTTATTGCTATGGTGATCAGTGTAATATTTTGAATACACTAGGGGAAATAAAGCTTCCGTAGGTTTTTATAGTAGTGGCACATTATTACAGCAGTAAAAATAATCTTCTAGACATAAATTGAAAGTGAAGTGATATTATGGTGCCATCATGATTCTACAGAAAGCTGACTGTGTTATGTGTATACTTACTATTTACTAAGCTGGAATTAAGATGGCCATGAGGTTGTTCATTTCTGCAGTTCTGAGCCCGGCGGTAAAATGGAACTTTCAATAAGTTTCAGTGTAAAGCCTGAGGGACACATAAGGAGCATCAGATAGAGACGAAGGTCGACTTTATAGAGAGGGAGGACCCGAAAGACAGGGCCTGTTCCTTTGTAATCTGGGAGGAAAATAGGACAGTGGAGTTCTCCAGAAGTCAGATTGTAACAGCAGTCGAATTGTCTGAAACTTAATGCAGAAGGATGACATAAACAAGAAAGGCAAGAATCTGTGTTCTGAGATAGTACCTAGTTGGATATCCCGTCACATGATGCGTCTGGGTACTAGTGCAGCAGACTTGCCAGGTGCCACCCTGTTGTAGTTTAGCCCAGTGGGCAGGTAAATGTCACACAGCCACTCAGTCTCCCTCACCCCCAGGGAATGGGAAAGAGAATTAAGGGGGAAAAGGAAAGGAGACTCGTGGGTTGAGATAGGAACAATTTAATAATAATATATGAATATACATATGAATAATAATAACAATATATACACACAAGTGAGGTGCAGTGTAATTGCTCGCCACCTGGTGACCAACACCTGTTCTGTCCCAGTAAACAATTCCGAAACAGATAAGTCCTGACACCATGATCCTGGACAAGTGAGAGGCTTGAAAAGAATGAGCAAGAGATAGCACTCCGAGACTGAGAGCCCCTGGAAGAGCAAAAGCCCTTCTTTCCAGTCAGCCCTCATCTGTATACTGGGCATGATGTTGTATTATATGGAATACTCCTTGGCCAATTTAACCCTCAATCCTAAATGTAAGTTCAAGTCATAAAGGGAGTTGTGGACCTTTTGTCTCGGCTACGATTCCGCTCCGCCAGCCTGTTGTGGTCCTGCACACTGGCAGAACACGGCAGTTGAAAAATCCTTGAGGTCTCAGCACCAACGATAAATATCAGTGCACTATCAACATTCTCGTAGCAAATCCCAGACTAAAAGCAAAACACGGAGCTCTTCTAGCTACCAAAAAGAAAAACTAACTCTGTCCCAGCTGAAACCAGGACATATCCTAATCTTTACAGCTGTCTCTGTATGGGTAGTTTAAGTACTTTGTTCTGTAGCCTGGTACATTTTTGAAGACCTTTTCTATTGAAAGTATTTTGATCGTTTTTCCATTTGGTTTTCAATAGTGTGTGAAGTTACTGTGTGTTGGTAATCATATGATGTGTATGTTTCAGTTTTGTTTCCCAAGAACAGTGTGAAAGTAGATGATATAGTATAAAACATGACATCAATTTTCTGTACATTGACTTGCATCAGTCTTTTTATGTTGAATGAACAAGAGATGAGTCATTGGAATAGATTCATGAAATGCAGTATTGCTGCCGATTTATTTATGGCCCACTTAGGAATGGCAGTGGAAAGGAAACTAGAACAATGCCTTAAACATTTTGTTTTGTGGAAGAAAGCAAACATTCATTTCTTAAGCACAGCTTTGGAGTGAGGTTTGGTGTAGGGGGATCTGCACTTGGCAGCTAAAGCTACTTACTCAAGATTGGGAGTTACTGAACCTTCTCATTTTAGTGAAATGCTCATACAAAATGTTGTTCATCCTCTGGTTTATACACCAAATAAGAGTTAACAGCAATGTCAACTTCTGCCTAACACACATTCTTTAGCATTTTGTTGAGTTGAGCAAATGATCTCAAACTTCCTGAGTCCCTTCAGCCTTTACCTTTCTCCTAACTCCATCTGCACAGGTAGCAATTACAACAGTGGTTCTGCAATGCAGATACTTGTTTTACAGCTCTAGGAGAACAAATGTGGAGAACGTTTCAATTTTTTTGCGAACTGCTACATTCACTGTAATATAGTCAGATATTTCATTGCTGCATACAGATGAAATTAGTGTATTTATGAGTGACTAACTCCACATTCCTTCGCTAGCATCAAGACCAGTTCTGATTCTTCCTTGGAGTTCTCTTCTGTACTGTTTGCTACCCACAACATTACGCTGAGACCATCATAAATGTAGCTGTTGTGTCTAAGCGGATTTCACTGTGTCTGCTCTTTAGATAAAATGTTTGATAACTTTTGAAAACTAAAATACAAGGCAAGTCTAACCTCTGCTCTGCTTGCATTCTTGAATTGGATTTCTTCCAGTGCCTGGCTTTGCCAAGGCCACGTTGCAGAAACTATTTGGCCTGAGTTTCTATAAAATGCCGTTTGTACTGGGGGAAGGCAGCAAAATCAAGGCATAGGGAACAGAGGAAAATTTCTGGCATAACCTTTGCTAAAATACGTTTTTCTCTTTAACACTCCAGGCGTCCATTTCCACCAGGTGATCGAGTTACCTTTAATGGAAGGGACTGTCTGTGTCAGATGTGTGCTCAGCCCATGTCCTCCAGTCCAAAAGAATTGTCTTCCTCAAGCAGTAAGTATGCCACCATCTCTCTGAAGCCTCTTGTTTTCCTGACCTGATCAGCATTTGGTTGACACTAACTTAATGCACTCTTTTGGATTGTGTGTTTTTTTCTTTTCTTCCTCTTTAGAAATGTGAATTATCTCTGGGAACCATCTTTTTTTCTTTCCTTTTTAAAAAATTTTTCTTCATGAAAAGTGTCTGATACTATAAATGGGAAGAGGCACTTACACATTTCATTATGAGCAAATGACTTTTTCCCAAAAACTGGATTTTTAAAAGGGCTGATTTTTTTTTTATAGGTTCTGGAAAAGTACTTGATGAATTCCGAGGTTTCAGAGTTGATAGATTGCTTTTTTTCATGTTTAATTGTATAGGTTTAAGTATTCAAAAGAGGACAAAGTCAGAGGAAATTAATTTTCTTCTACTATTTAACACTTAAATTAAATTATCCTTTATAAGGAATATTGCCAGGATTATGCCTCCAGTAAACTGAAACCACAATGGTACTGGAAGCAGAACCTCAAGAAACCATTATAAAAAAGAGAGAAAGCTGGTTAAGAGGAAAGAGAAAGAACAAAGAAAGTTTGGGAGGGAAATTAACTTGGTTTGATGTTGGGTTTTAATGTTTTTAAAATATAATTTTTAAATCACTGATATTAATCTCTGCCTCTGGTAGTTAATTTTTTAAATCTTTGAGGATTTCTCTGACTGCTGGATTGTACTCAGCACTCTAATCTGCAATGATTTACCCAGTATAGTTTTATAATTCAAATGGCTACAAATTTCCTTGGGACACTAGGTAGTTTTCCACCAGTGTTGATTTCCTTCCGGGAGACGCTGCGTATTTTGTACTGGTAGTTGGCTTTGAGATCCTAGGATTGTAAAGTGGAATGTAATGGCAAAGTTGGATAATGTTTGTGCTCGGCAGATGAGTCAAGTGAATCTCAGGTTATCTGATGCGCCTGAGAACATGTCATAAGACACTTAGCAAAATGGAAAATAAGAGACTTTTTTGGTATCATGCCTTTCTGTCTGCTAAATGATACTTTTCCACTCTGTAGATTCGGAGCTGAAAATGCACAAGCCTAATCAGTTAAGGAATAATTTAGGAATAAAACTTACAAACCAATGTAGAAATGTATGGGGTACTTTGGGCAGCCAGGGAGTCCTTCTGAGACAAAGGAATGTTGTGGAAATTGTATTTGAATTACTGATTTTTAGAAAGCATAATTGGCAAGGAACTGCAAAGCATAGGGTCCTTGGACAGGTCCTGACATTCTTTTTCTAAGCCTGTCACAGCACTGTTTCCCAAATGACTGGCATTCAGTGACAGAAGTGTCTGATCACGCTACATCTGCTTCTCAAAAAGTGGCACGCTTGTCCAGCAGTGTGGCCACTTCCCGGGTACGTGCCTCCAGGTGCCAAAATGCCCCCTAGCAAATGACAGGCTTAAGTTGTCTGATAGTGAGCAAGCAAAAGAGCTGGAGAGTCACCTCCTGATAGCCACAGCCTCTGATTGAATTGCTTCTTGGGTTCTACACTGAAGTCCTAGGTAGCAAGGATTATAAAAATAATGGTCCCTGCTGCTTGTGATGAGATGTATTTTATTTTTTTTAAATCAGAATTGAGTCCTGCTAGGCAAACTGCCTTACTGATACACAGAGCAAGAGAGCTCCTGCTCGTAACAGTTTAGAGCATGTTACTTCGAAATCTGCAAGTACCTGCCACTGTGCATCTTTTTCTTTCATGGAGAAAGATTTGTAGGAAGATACAGTATAGAGTTTCTGGTCATTTTAGAGCAAAACTCTCCAAAACAGACAAATAAAAGTGAGACCCGCGTGTGTTTGTAAGTTCAGCAAAACTCAATTAAAAGAATACTAATGAAGTGTCCTCTGCCTTCAAAGATACGCCAGCTGCTGCTTTAGCTTTGTGCAAAAGTTGACTTAGATACAGAGAATTTGTCCTTGCTGGCACTGAAAAGTAAATTTTAATTAGCATAAGCTGTTCTGGATTGTTTCCACGTCTCTCCTGCTGGATGAATCAAACACATCCATTTTTTCTAGTGCTTTGCCTTTTTTTGAAGGGATGTTTCTATTTTAATGCAAGTTCTTTTAGAACATAATCTTATTCATTCTGTGCATCTATTTTATATCCTATATTGCTGTCAGTTTCCCCTGATTACTTCCAAGTAGATTGCTAGAGGAGGCTTTCCTTAAAACAAAGCTGAAAGTGAGGAAATTCAATAGATTGAAGTATATCAGGTTTGATTGGTTTATGTAATGTAAAAGGAAGCCTCCTCTGCACTAGAATGTCTGCATTAATGCTGACATGCCGTTTTCCAATGTCTGTTACTTCATATAAATGAAAGGCTTACTGACAGCTTTTCTTGGATAATTGCAAGGAAAATCAAGTGCCTCTAAATACAAGGGTTAATGTCTTGAACAACATGAGCATGAATACTGTTACACTCTTTTATAGTGAACACCAAGGAAAATCAAAAGGAAAAATACTGAATAATTAATTTTCTTTTTTTGTGTGATATTAATTGGGTCCATGGTACTTATTGACCTTATTTATATTAATAATATATTTCTTTTACTGCACATATATTACCTGGAATAACTGTAGCTATTTTCTTGAAGGACCATTTCAGTGTCTCCTTTTTTATTCTAATTTTTAAGACAGTCTTTTTCACTATATAGATGCTATAGAGTAATCATAATTCATAGTTTAGTCAATCCTATTTCTTAAACACTGCTAGATGTACACAGTGCGCTGGCTTTGTGATTTTAACTCATTCACCAGGAAATCTAATGCCAAATATCTGTAAGTAGCTTTGCAGACAAATGAAATGGGTGGTGGTCGTTTTCGTTATTGTTTTATTTCGTATGACAGCTTGATAAATGCGATGTGACCTGTAAAGCAAAGTGACTGGGACAGATGTAGAGCAGCACAGAGGCAGGGGACAACTAGACAACACTGACTAAAAGTGCGATGTTGATGACTTCGGTAGTCCAAGGTTTTCAAGATTCTGCCAAAGACAGGAAGTTACTTTCTTTGGGGCCTGATAAAGGAGTCATTTAAGTCATGTATCTTGGTAATTACGATTTATGTTTTAAACAGTGTCCATGTTTTGTATACAAAATCATGATTGCTCAGTTTGTACTATCTTAAACTCTTTCTACTTTGTTGTTTCTAGCTACGTGGTAACACACCTGTGCTTGTTGTAGTCCATATTTTCTTTCCAGAGAAGCAGTTGTGCAGGCATCTATTATTTCTAAATTTTAGCAAGACTGCAACTTCTATGCCTGGCTGTTTGGCAATGGGTGCCCTGCTTCCCTTTCTCCCCTCCATTTTACCTTCCTTTAATTAACATCTCTTGCATTATGTCTTCACTCTATATATGACAGCCTCATTTCACTATCCCTCAACATTCGGTCCTTCAGTGGACTGTTTTTGAAGGCCACCTTTAAAAATCTGCAGATTATATGGCTTTTTTCTTAATTTCATGCTGTAATTTAGAGTGGAAAAAAAAAGTCAAAACCGTCAAACTTTTGCGTTTTTGCTGTCGTTGTTGTTACTATTTTGTGTTGTTTAAGGATTGATGGTTTATTGTTTCTGTGTTGTCAGAGGAGGGATTATTTAGTAGTTAACTTCCGTTGGACCTACAAATTCTTTGTGTAGCTGTTTTCTTCATACATATTTTATGTATCAGGGTACATAGTTAAATTTCAAGGGTGAGTTTTCTACCAGCAAAATGAAAAAATAATGCTGCTCTGGCTTACTACTAAGTTGTGGTTATAAGCAAATTGAAAGTGATATGATGTTTAGATGATGCAGTCCTAAGTACTGTACAACTGCCTGAGTCTTACATATTGATACTGAAGTCATAAAATTTAGAAAATATGTGTGGTTTTAACTTCTTTAAGGAGAAATTCAGGAACATAAATTCTGCCTACATAGAATCATAGAATCACATCCTTATTCTTCATCCATGTTAGGGTTATATACCTTTGAAAGAGTAGTGTGAGCTTTATAATATGTTTTCCCAGCCCCCAGCATCTCAAACTGCTTTATTCCCCTCAGTGGCCAAATGATAGTGACTGAGGATATGCACTCTAGATTTCCGTTAGCATTAGTGTGTCAAGCAGAGGCAAGTAGATTGGCCACATCAACAGGCTTTACCCTCTTTGATATTTCTCCGTTAGGTCATTTTATCCGTGAATTCTCACCAAGGCAGCTGGTAAGCGAACTGATGTGGACATCTGAACATAAAAATCCCTAGTTTAGTCAGACCTTAATTTTTAAAAATTACCACGCTGGCTTGCATTGCTTGAACACGCAAGAGGTGTCATGGAAAGTACAGGTGAGAGTAGAGCAGCTGTAGAAAGATCCCCCATACTCAGGGTGGGCACATGAGGTGGTGCCAGCAGTCTGCAGTAGTGAAACTCGAACCAGCAGTCTTCTGGTTCAGGGATCGTCTCTGAAATTGTGTGAAATACATGTCTTTGAACACAGTTTAGTACATTTCCCCCTTCCTCAAACAGAAGTTTTTCCCTTAGGCATTCCAATTCAATATTTCCATGATAAAGCACTTCAGTAATAAGAATGTTATTTCTCTACCTGAGATGGAGCCCTTTCTCTGTTAATTCCTTGTCTGGGTGCTGGTAAGGAAGTTTTAGTTATTTCTGATTGCCTTTTTGCTGAAAGGTTGGATCGTTTTAGTGATATGCATAAACTAATTAAGAAAATACATTTCAAATGAAAAATGGGTTTTCTAGATGGATAGAAAAAAACTCCCTGTCTGAAAGAAACTGAGGCGTTACAACCACCTCGCAAGAGTTTTCATTTGAAAAATTCATGTTCTTTTAAATGGTGATGGAGACTTTCAGTTTCCTTTTCTTTGGTGAAATAGATAACTTGTCCTATGTATGCTGAGATATCCAGTGATGCACTGTTTGGAAAGAAGATAAGGAAAATTCGTCAACTCTCCTTTCTTTGCAACAGCCTTGCCTGTGAGTTAAGAGCGTTACAGGACAGCCAAGGCGTGGACCAGAGTTTTCAAAATGACCAACGTTACATGTGCATAAAGAATCCTTGGTGCAGCTGTTCCCTCACCAGACGGCGGCCACGTGGAGATTTCACAATAGTGTTTTGTATGTTTCTCCTTGTCTGTTTTCCACATTACGTTGTGGTTCAAAGAATGTGAGTTCTCTGGGACAAATGCTTTCATGCCTATCAGAAAAGAGTCCAACAGAGCTAGATCCTGGCTCACAACTGGGGATCTTAGCTCTATTGTGATATGAATAATAAGCTGAATGCTTAGTGAACCTGTGGGAGAAAGATATCTTTGTTAATTATTCAATAGCCTTATCTCTTCAAATAAGATGCAGTAAAGCTCCTGGTA